GTGCTCTGTTCCCCCATGAGAAGGAACACAGGCAGAGGAGCTGCTCACATGTCCACAGTCTGAAATTTCTCTGTCACCCATTCACTTGGCAGTTAGTATTGATTCTACGAATATTCATTGGCTGTCTACTATGAGCAAGGCCTGGAGCTAGGTCCTGTGGCTGATGGAAACAACAATCTAGCAAGAAGGCTAAGAATTTTCCCACAATAACCTGCAGAAGGCATTGGCCAAACACACCTAGTGTGTCAGTCATACCTAAATGAAAAAGATTGCAAGACTTCATTTTCCTTTGCTTGATCACTAATGTCTTCACTTGCAATCTTAGCTGTAGGTTATAAACTGCATTTGCAACTTGAGAAGTTCACTGTTACTGATCATCCTAGTCAGCCATAAATGGCCTGGGTGGTAGCTCAACTGATACAATACTTAAAGTTGAATGTTTGAGTTCCAGAAACCTAACTCTGTAACACTCTGATGAACAAATCAACTGGGAACAAAATTCCTTTGAGCAGAAGGAGCCTGGAAGAGGCACGATTAAGTTCTAATTGTAGGGCCAACCTGTGGCAAACAGAACTCATGGGGATGGGGTGGGGAAGGCACCTGCATTCCGTGCTCCTGTCCCACATACCTACTCTAGAAACATTTCTGACAACAGAATTTATAAATCCTTCGGCTGTATAAACCTTAGTATAACATGTATTACATCTATGGTGATATTTTTGTTAATTTTTGTTGGTCTCGTCTGGGGCAGGACCCAAATCTTATTATTTTTAAACTTTTTTTTAAAGATTTTATTTATTTGTCAGAGTGAAAGAGCACAGGCAGGCTCCCTGCTGAGCAGGGAGCCCGATGCAGGACTCAATCCCAGGACCCTGGGATCATGGCCTGAACTGAAGGCAGACGCTTAACCGACTGAGCCACCCAGGCATTACCCATGTCTTACTCTTTACAGATTCAGCAAATGCTGGGCTCACGTTAGACAGAAATAATGATTGACTATCACTACGCCCACCGTACTCTCTAATTCTCACTATAGTGTTGGTCCTTTTTCTTAGAACAATCTCCTTTGTCTCCAGTCCCTGCTCCTCCACACCAATCCCACTCCCAGCCCCCACCCTTTCTGCAACGAGAAAACTTCTATACTCCCTTGAGGTCTGAGCTGAGATATAGCTACCTCTGGAATCCTTTTCCCACCTTGCACAGCCTCCGGAATAGTTCACTGGCCCTCTCTATGAGCTCTCGGGTCATTTTCTAATGCCTCTACCATAGCATTTAGCACAGTGTGTCGCTTGTTGTCTGTCTGCTTATACCAGGAGAAACCCCATGAGTGCAGAGGCCATGTCTGGTTCACTTCCAAATGCCCAGCACATAACAGTCATTCCATAATATTTACTGAATAGATGAATGAATGGACATATCTGTTAGAATACATCCTTTTTATTAGCTAGATGAAATATTCTACTAATTTAACTTACATTGTGGAAAACTAGTGAGGTTTCTATTAACTATTCTTACACCTACTACTCTTCCCTCTATCCCACCTGAAAATAGGTCCCCCCCAAATTCACCCCTTTATCCAGCCAGTCCCTAGACATTCACATACAAGGTCACATTCTGAACACAAGCACTCAACTCTATACCCAAATGAAAATGCATAAACATCATATTTAGGCCAAAGCTTGAGAAGTCATAATAAATCAAAATATAGGGAGGAATTTCTAGGGTGTGAAGCACTGCCCCTCTAAGAGGTAGGGATGTTCATAAGAACTCCTGTATTTGAGGGCGCTGGGTGGCTCAGTTGGTTAAGCGACTGCCTTCGGCTCAGGTCATGATCCTGGAGTCCCGGGATCGAGTCCCACGTTGGGCTCCCTGCTCAGCGGGGAGTCTGCCTCTCTCTCTGACCCTCCCCCCTCTCATGCTCTCTATCTCATTCTCTCTCTCAAATAAATAAATAAAATCTTAAAAAAAAAAAAAAAAAAAAGAACTCCTGTATTTGATAGACAAGGAGGATTTCTCATCAGGGAGACTGCACATGGCTGTGCAAGTTGGCTCCGTACAACCCCAAGGAGTAGTGCTTACATGGACTAAGCCATGAGGAGCACCCCCCAGAGGGGTACCACAAAGCAGATGTGATAAAGCTCTAGCCTTGGTGAGTGGCCATGGGGAAAATCCACACTGTTTTTTGCAGGCCAGGAAGTAACTGATTGTATCCTCTTCTGGGGAGAACGGGAGGTGAAAAGAAAGTTAACTATTGGCCTTTCCTTTCCACATTCTTTGTAACAACTCCCCTCCTTTAATAGGACTGGAGAGAGCAAAGCTGCTGAGACTGCAGGTGCCACACAGAGAGGAGACACTAATTACATTTGAGTTGGCTGATGGACGTACCACAAAAGCCACATTTAGAACGAAATGCAGAGGATGATGTAATGGTAGCCAAAGTTCTCAACTTCCCTGACACAGTGGTCCTTCTTTTCCTCTTCTCTCATGCTTAATTTTAAAATGTTCAGAAAGTATGGTACAAGTAATTTATTTCAATTAAATGTTTAGTAAGTAGTCTACGTAACTTAATCATGAATTGGAAGAATTTGTAGTCTTGAAAGGAAATATTGTATGAAAATTGATTTTTAAGAACTAATTAATAATGATTCCCTGAATGTTGTAACCTACTTTCACATTTTATTTGAAATGTGCTTCATAACAGGTATCCAATAAATAAAAAGGTGAGGAAGGATATTCCATCTTTCATATTTTGAAAAGATGAGTTTGTGTTTCTTGACAGTGTTCTGAATAATTGAATGGAAAAAATAATTGCAATTTTTGCATCAACATAATTTTTTTGAATCTTGATAATTATGGTCATTAAGCATCTTCTTATATATTATTTATTTTATATATGTTTTTTCTGCTTTTCCTCATCATCCATCCCCTATTTTGGAAAGATTTTATAGATTTTTAATTCCGGCTTTTAATACCAGCTACTAAGAACTTACAACTTCTTACCACAACATAAAAAAAAAAAAAGGAAGATACTTTCTGAAAAATAAATATGCTATTTAAGATATTAACAGTCTAAAAAATTTCAGTGCAAGACTATAAAAAATGTTGAAGTTTTGTCTCTTACATGTTTTGAATTGACCTTTTTCAGACATGTCTTCACCATAAACCTTTTGTCAGCGAAAACATCTTATGCAAGTTGGTAATCTTCAGTGCTATCAAAAATGTGTTTTCTCTTGAAATTTTGGGAAGAAAGAAATAGCAACAGTGTGGTTTTCCAGTCTTCCCAAACATCCCTATATAGGACAGAAAAACCAAAAACTCACAGACAATATAACAAAACCAGGTGAAAAGGCTTCCCCATGAAGCCTAGAAAACAAGTGAATGAGGACAAACTAATGACAAACGCAAGAGCTTCATGGTATTAGCATCTATATTAGAGGAAGCAAGAGGACATTGATGAACCTAAGAATAGGAGAACACTCAAATCTCCAAAGCCTCCAAATCATTGAGAAGAAGAATGGGCCAGTACAGCTACAGGTGAAATTGTGAGGGCTTTTTGCCATCCAAATTTCTGAGAAGCACAAGGGCTGCACCCACAGTAAGGTCTAAAGAGACCCTATGAACTCCTGAAACTAGTATCTCAGGCCCCCTTGTGTACATTAGGAGAAACTGCTGAGAAGAGACTCCAGTAACCAGAGCAGAGATGCGTAGAGGAAAGGGAATGAAGTTCCAGATAGAAGAGATCTCAGAAAGTATGAGGTCATAATTTTGAATGCTTCATGAAAACAGTCAAGGGCCATGAAACCAGAAAAGATAGCCTTACCTATCACTCTATCAAAATGATTAAGAAAACCAACTTTGCTTAAAAATAAGCAACAGACAGGTGTCTCCGTTAATTGCAATAAAAATGATTATAAGAGCACAGAAAATCAGCATGTCAGGAGGATATGCCCACAAAACAGATGAAAGTATAACATGATCTACACAATATTAAAGCTAATATTACTTAATACCAAAATTAAGAAAATCATAGAAGAAAGAACAAATAAGTCAAAAGTAAAAAAAACTCACGATGTGTATAATTGCACACCCCCAAAAAGAAAACCAAAGCTATAGAAGAAAACAAATACAAAGCATTCTAACTCAGGGAAACATTCCTGAAATTAAAATGGCAAAGACTTAAGTTAAAAGAAAGGTTCCTTAAAGGAAAAGAAAATTTCCTTGTCCACATCCATGCAAAAAGAGCAAGTCATTTATTTGGAATAGAAAGCCAGATGGAGAGAGGGGAGAGGGGCGTGGCAAGGGGGGGAGGAGCAAGGAGCTCCAGGTAGAAGGACTATTGAGAGACATAAGTACTAGTCAAATTTTATGGACCTTATTTGGATGCGGATTCAAACAAACAAATTTCAACATGTCCAAGGCAATTGGAAATTTGAAACACTGTGTATTTGAAAATATTAAGGAGTTGTAATTTATAGGTATGATAATGGCATTTTAGTTATGAGTTTTAAAAAGTCCTTTATACTTTTAGAGACAACTCCTTATTTATGAATGGAATTATGTGATGCCTGATAATTTGCTTTAAAATAAAAAGGATGGGAAATAATTGACTGGATAGATAAAACAACACTGGCCATGAGTTAATAATCACTGAAGCTGTGTAACAATTACATGGGATGGTTTGTGGTATGTTGTCTACTGGGTATATATTTAACACGATTCTCAGTACAGAGTTTAAGAAGAGGTTTTTTTTGTCCTCAGATAGGATGGACAGTTCAAGCCTAGGCAAAATAAATGTGTTTCATTTTCCTAAAGAAACCCAAGATTGCTAGAGTATCAGTTTATGGAACTATCCCCCCCCCCCCCCCCCGTGTTATGCTAGCAGGTTGCAATTGTTTAGATACATCTTCCTTAACATTAATTCAGTTAACTTCTTTTAAAAACATCCACTCCCCTGAACACATGTGTCTGAGAAGCATTTCCTGGTTTGTTTTTTTTTTTAGGATTGTGGAGAAGGGATATTATAGTGAACGAGATGCTGCAGATGCTGTTAAGCAAATCCTGGAGGCGGTTGCCGTAAGTATGAATTGACAGCAATAGCATAACTCTTGGTAACCTTTTCCTTGTACAGAATCATTCCTTAACAAGTGTATGTCTGTGACCAGTCAAAACATTTACAGCAAAACATTACAGCAAAATAGTAAGAAATACTTTGTAGATAGTACGTTGAATACATTTATATTTTCTCTTGATTGCTCAAACTCTGGAAGGTGCAGTCCTCCTATATAATGCCATAAGTCTGTTAAAATAATTTCCCATTATTATGAAATCAGACTTTGGGGCTTATAGTCATTCTTCTCTCTCCTTTCCGTTTCTTGAGTTTGTTTCTCTATTGTTTTTGTTGTTTGGCAGGGAAGTGAAGGAAGGTGGAATGTGAGAAATATAGATCTGGGAGCATAGAGGTTATTGATTTTTCTTTCAAGACAAGGGAATTCAAGTGAAAAATTCTGATAGTTTTATTTTTTTAAGGAAGAAATATAAATTAATGTTTTTAAGGAGAATAAAGTGTTGTAAGTTAATGATGGAAACTATGCACCCATATTTACACAAACATGTAATTTTGAGAAGCTTGTTGGATTGAATTAATAAGGAAAAATTTGCCTAGATAAAACAGACTCCACTAGTGAAAACCTTCATATTTAATGGTTGTCTAATGTGTGCTGGAACACGTTGGTGGTTCATTTATTGAATATGAAGTCAGAACAAAAACAGGATGAAGCCCAAGGGGAAATGTTTATTCAGGTTAAAGAGACAAATCTATAAAATATATCAGAATTAAGATATATTCTATTGTTTAGAGTCAGTTAAAGAACTAAAATCATTCAGTATCTTGAGAAACCAGCCACAGTGACAAAAGCACATGTCCTATGAATTTTACCCCCAACCAAACCAGGAAGGAGGGAAGAGGCGAGGGAGGGAGGGAGAGAAGAAGGAAGGAAAGGAGGGACTCTGACATCTAACTAGCTTATCTATCATTGATGAAAAGGAAAACACAATCTCCGCAATCTGTATAGGACTGCTAGAGATAGCAGATCTATGGTCTAACCAAATCCATGATTGAGCTATCAACACCAAGTTCAATTGGCTTTATAGCCCAGTCTTTCCAAATTATTCCTTCCTATAAAAGCATTGTGGTCTTTTTGCTCTCGTGGGGTATAAAAAATTTGAATTGGGGGTAGGGAAAAGCTGGAGAGGCTGCCCTGGAATTTTACTATAAATTCACAATGTGCCTCCTGATTTTATGAATGTTGAATTTCAAATCCATCCTCTTACATACCCCAAATAACCACTCCATTCCAGAGTTTTCATCAAACACAGTATAGTTACCACACCTGGTTTCCTAAGCTTGCCAATTTGGGAATGATTTTTGACTCTTCCATTACCTTCTCGCCTCACATCCACCTTCCCAACTTCAGTTGGGTCTTCCTTCTACTGCCCATGAACCTAGTCCTGCTCCCTACCATGCTATGAATGCTCCTGATGTGCTTCATTAAACAAAACCAACCAACCAAACAAAACAGAATTACTTCTAGTTACTTCCAGTTCCTGTCCTTAAAGATAAAAGTCTAGAATTCTTTTTTGCAGTCTGTTTTCATCTTGTCACTTCTAAGTTCAATAATGGCAGTTTTATGCCTTTCTTAAATACCCATTTAAAAACTTCATTCCTCATTACCACATGCAATAGATTATCTAGTTAAGTAAACATGCTGGCAGTGGCCCACCATCACTTTAGGCAGGCAGCTAGTATAACAGTTAAGAGTACTTTGGGAGTCAAACAGAGCTGGGTTCATTTCCTGGATATGTGAGCTGGGCCCCAGTCACTAAACACTTTTGAGCCTCAGTTTCCTCATGGAAAATAGGCATAATATTCAACCTAACAGAGTTGTGGAAAACACTAAATAAGATAAGGCAATGGAAGTCTTAGCAATGTTCAAAAGAGAGGCAAAAGGATAAGCAACTTCAGACTCAGTACATCCATGTAAAGATATATTAGATGTTATAAATCTATACATAGATATTTACTCCCCAGCTAAGTACTGAAATCAAAAACAACTGACAATAGTCACTGCTCAATATTTACCGAATTAAGTAACTGAAAATTTATCAAAATAGGAAGTCACTATTCCATTTTGTCTTTCTAGATACTGATACATTTACTATCATTTTTCTACTCATTTCATATGAAACAAACCTTTCTTTATAACTTGTTCCCATTCATGAGATTATTTTCTGCTCCCTTACTATCATTTAATTATTTTCCCACATTCAAAATGCACCTTCTTCAATATGTTTTCTCTGGTTACCTCCATCCATTTAGGTCAGCTCTTGATTCTTTTGGCTTATCACAGTGGGCATGCTTCAATTTAGTGATACCTCAGGTAGCTGACTGGGAGAACTCTGTCCTCATTCAGTGAATGAGAAATGAATGCTTTCAGCATCAGACTTTTCCACCTATTGGAGTTACACTAATTAAGGAATAAAAGGGCCCCCAACAGGGATGCCCCAGATAGGGGTACACCACATAGAAAAGAGGGACTAGATAGACTTCAACTCTGTTCCAGATTTGCAAAGATGGCTTGATTAGTCTACTGGTAATCCTCAATTTAAAACAAAAAAATTTGTTGTTCTACCTACTCAGAAAGTTTCAGTTTAATAAGTAGGTTACCGAGCAAAGGGAAAGAAAGGAGAGAGAGGCAAACGGAGAAACAGACTCTTAACTATAGAGAACAAACTGATGGTCACCAGAGGGGAAGGGGGTGGTTGGGGAAACAGGTGAAGGGACTTGCTGTGATGAGCACCGAATGTTGTATGGAAGTATTGAATCACTATATTGTACACCTGGAACTAATATTACACTGTATGTTAACAAACTAGAATTTAAAAAAAACTTAAAACAAATAATAAAAAATAAAGAGAAATAAATAAGACCAAAAAGATAAAAGTAAATTACCACATTCAAGAAGTTTTATAAAAATCAAATTTTCTCTGATTGCTACAACTAGCAATCAGATTAACTTAGAGGGGAAAAAAGTTAAAGTCATTTCCCTAAGTGTTTCCACAGGTAGAAAGCAAGCGATTTAAAACTTGTGGGAAGTGGCTGACATTTATGAAATAGTTTATTGTCAACTACATAGCTATAGATAGCTATAAAAATAGGACAGTTGGGAACTCAAAGTAATCAGTGATACAGCTCACATTTCCTCTGGATCACACACTTAGAAGACTATATCTAGGCTGGCTTTTGAAAGCACAGACGCAGAAATCTTAAAGATTGAAAAGTTCTTGGGAAATACTTTGTGGGGATAATTATACCCCTTAGGTAACAAATCTGGCAGTCCTTCCCTTCCTCCCCACTTCACCCTAATTCTTGCCCCAAATATTTCACAGTATTTGTCTGACTATAATCTTGCTCCTTCTGCTTTTTAGCTTTAAATAGAATTTTTGAAAGCTTTTAAAGTGAATTTGAAAGATGTTTCCCTCTTTGAGTTTGAATTCATACAGTTAGTCTTTGAGGGTAGATCATTAAGCTTTCTTGAGTATTCTATCTTCCTGAAATGAATTCCAGGTAGTCCCAAATTAGATGGTCTAAGTCCGTCTGGACATTCTGAAAGGGTCATCATGTCCTCATCTGTCAGAAAACACAATGCTAAACCTTGAAGCCCTCCTTTTCCATTTACTTAAAAAGATAACCAGGGAATTCCATCACCTCTGACATCTCTTACCATTGCCACCACCTCCTGACCTTTTCTTGCCCCCCAGATATCCTACCATTCCTCTGTTTCCAGAAAAATCACTATCTCCCTTTTTTCTCCACTCCACTCCTGATGCCACTTTCCATCTTTTGCTAGCCATAGCGCTCTTAGGTATGTCTTAATTTCAGTCATGACTTGAGAGCCTGGAGAAACTTGTACATGTAGAGTATAGATTGAATTTAATGAAATAGAAGGAAATGGTTAAAGAACTTAAATATGTCTGCTACCCTAGCACATAGAGTTGGGGTTAGAATTTTGATAATGGGGGGTGAAGAGTTACAAACAAAAGCATCCCACCCTTGAAGGTTATGGAAACCAATATGGCATCTCAACATTGAAGTCAAATGGGATGTGGACATGATTATAAGGATGCAGGAAAAGATCAAATAGGACAGGCTTCTTTTGGTAAACATTTTTTAAAACCTGTAGCTTTGCCTCAAAAAGAACAGATATACCATATTAAAGAGTCAGTTGGTAAAGAATTGATGACTAGATACTGAAGAACTGGAAAGGCAAAAGGGGAATACTAAATTAAGGGTACCCTGGCAGCAGCACCGGCAAGGAAGCAGCCTCTCCTCAGACTGAGGGGAGCAAAAAAAAGAGCGGGAGAGGATTAAAGCTTAGACATTTAAAAGGAGGTGTGATGAAGGTGCCCTGCTTGGCTGGTGCTGGTGTCTGGTCTGTGACCTAAAGGAGTTGCCCCCGAAGCTGGCGCTCAGACCTTTGAGCTCATTGATGGGGATGCTGTTCTAGCCAGCTAGTGCTGGTGTTGCCGAAGAGGAACACTGGTTGGTTCTGTGAGCATTTGTGGAAAAACTGCAATCAGCAGCTGCCACCAGAATGATCTGCACGGCAGGGTGAAAACGTGTCTTTAGGGTGCGTGGGAATAACAAGCGGAAAGATAGGCACAGAAAGCAAATGGGACTGAGCAAGTCCCTTCATCCTCTTCCAGCCTTCCACTCTCGCCCTAGGGCCCTCTAATGGCAGAGCCGAACAGGAAGCCGGCAGGAGAAGGAAAAGTGTGGCTTCTAATTCAAGTCTCAGCTTCACAAAGTGGACTACGGAAGGGTGATTTACAGCTGAGAGCCAATAACTTAATAAATGGTACAGGAATTTATTTAAAAACAAAAATAAATTCTCAAAGTTCCTGTTGCTATTCATAGTCTTCTAAAACGTTCAGTCTTTACTAATGTGCATTAAATGGTTCTAGAAGTCAAATCAGAACAAGTACAGCAGCATTGAAATAAATTACTGTCTATATTT